AATTTCTCGTTCTTCTTGTTTCTTTTCTTGTTTAATTTCTCGTTCTTCTTGTTTCTTTTCTTTTTCCTCTAACAACTGTTGTAATTTCTCTTCTCGTTCTTCTTGTTTCTTTTGCTGTTCTTGTATTGCTACCATCAAGTCTGCTAGGCTGTAGTTTGATTTGCCGCTTCTCGTTTCCATTTTTTTTTCTGTCCCACTCTCTGACACCAATTTGTTACGTCTCCGTTTGTTAATTAACTTTCCGTAACTTCGTTCCGACGAAACTTTATCGACACAAGTCCTTACTTAATAAAACTGGTTTATTCTTTCCGAATATAACTTTACCGATACACTTATTTTCAACAGTCGCGCTAAAACAAACGCTATAACGAACGTTAACTTCAATAATACTTTGACTGCAGATCAATTACTCATTGTCTACACACACACTATTATTCTGTCATGTTGTCACCCTCTTTTATATACCAGACTACCCTATATCTAGTAAATGCTAGAGCATTCGCCAGGGTACAGGATAGTTCTAGAAAGCAGAGGGTGTGAGAATAGTCACGTGATCTCGCTGACACAACAATATGAAAAGCTACCTAGCATAGTTGCTCTATCTCCGGTGTATATGCCGCTTTTCAGCTATCCAGAGCGTTCCAAAGTCGAAAACTGGCGAATAGCCAAACCGAGATTTATTATTTTCGTTCATCATCATCTTTATTTAACAGGCCTAAAGCCTACCTAGTTCTAGCAGTAACTATAATTTTATCATCATTTGATAGAACAAAACATTCTTCATGATCTTTGACTACCTATTTTATTATATGCAAAATTTATAAAGCTTTATAATACACCGTATTACCTAACAACCAATGTACGTCATCTTATAAAAAAGTAAACAAATAAGATAGGGATGGAAGATAAGGATAGGGATGACATATCACTTGATTTGGCTGATTATCGGCCTAAGCCGTCTCGGCTTTAGATATAGAATATAGTCCATACATAACTGGCTTCCTCACTGGCAAATAAATGAGAACCAGAATTTCCCATCATAAAATGTTACTCTATTCTAAAATAGTAATAAAAGTAGTATTATAAAGTTATGTTACGTCTCTGGCCATTTGTTAATTTCTCGTAACATTTCTTTCCGAGAAACTTCAGCGATACAAGTCCTTTCTTAAATAGAACTAGTTTATTCTTTCTCAATACAACTTTGCAATACACAAAATTTCCACAGTCACTTGAACACACGCTATAATTCACAACGATTCACGCACTTTACTTACGGTCACTACCGCTCGCTTGACTCAATTATCTGTCTCTATATCTGCCATTATATCTCCACTTTATTTGGCGGGCTTATATATTAGAATAGAGGGCGTCTGGCAAACACTCGAGCCTTCATGATCCTTCTAGAAACTCATCACGTGTTACCAGCGTCACTTGACTTCCGCTGTCGTAACAGTTAATTAAAGGAAAGGTATAATGATGAAATCTGAGATTTTATTCAAACACAAAGCTTTCAATAGACAAAAGTTTTCCTAATACTTGTTTCTTTATAGTCATTCCATGTTTTTGCACTTTTTTGTTTTAAATCTAAATACAACTCCATATTATATTTGGTAGGTTTTTGTTTCATTCATGTCCAACTACATAATACAACAACAACATTATTTAAAGGATTTATAGATTTCAAACATATATTTTTCTCATATATATATATATATATATGTATATATTGTATTCCACTTAATAATCCTGCATATGTGGAACAGAATCTTTGGCTTCTGGCTCTTACGGCACAGCACAATCTTCATATGCGGGAAATCGAGGATTCAATCGTGTCTATATATATATGTTTCAGAAATAAAATAATTTTAGCGCATACATCGTACGCGAAGCACATGTTTACCCCTAGTATCAGTATTAATCAAGCTTCTGATAGCTGAGTTTACTACGTATACTTTATCATAAAAATATTACGCATCGCATCGGTGTTTTCAGGGAGGTGAGGGCCGAAGGGTGACATCATGAGGACAAATGTAGGTTGAATGGCACCATAGTGAAAAACGCTTCACAACCACTTTATCGGGTCGATAACTTCAATACTATCTCAATGTGCTCTGAAAAAACTATGTATCGAAGTAAATAACAAAGAGTCAACTTATACAACTAAATTTCCAACCAATGTCTAAATGGAGTTTTTTACCAAATAGAAAAAATTAAAAGAACTAGATCTTGTTGGAAGACGACTAAATTAGCAACAGTGCATGTGACTAGTTAACCATTTGGAGGAGAGGATGATGTAAAGTTTCAGAAGAATATAGAGAAATTCCTGTTATGCCTGTAAATCCAAAAAGTTCCATAAAAGAATTTACGTATACTATGGCAGTTTAAAAATTGAGCAGTTCTACGAAAATGGAACAAGATTAGTGGTTTGCGAAATGAAGTAAAGTTCATATTTACCAGTGACCCAGTTTCTTTTTTAGTGATTGAGACTAATTTCTCGAAGAAATGGAATGTATTAATTAGTTGTAAAGCCTTTTCTTATAAGACGTTAGAATTAGTTCAGCAAAGAAGCAGGATCGTTTTTGTAGTGTGTTTTATCCAGGTGAATTGGATTGACGTTACAACTGTCGGAGAG